GACTTTTGAATGTCTGATATTTCTGTTCCTCCTATTTCTGACATATTGGCTTTTTTTGGGATATTGAGAATTTTTGAAAATGTATGTAACTTTCGAAAAATTCTCAACAATAAAATTCAAAACTTTCAGGATTCCACGAATTCAAATATCCAAATCTAACTAAAATTCTCAAAAAAATTTAAATTCTCAACATTTTTGAATCCTCAGAATATCTTATCCCCGAATCTTTGTATTTGAACATTTTAACAAATTACCATTAAGCCTGAAATAGAAACACTGTCAAGTTTGAGCTAATTTTTCTCGGCTCTTATGCATGCAAGATATCAGAAATGTGTCAACCAATAAATTGTTTGTGATCTTCTGATAAACATTTTATCAGTTAACAACTTTTTGATGGTTTTCACAGGAACCGAGATAAATTGGGTCAAACTTTACAGGTCCTACGGTAATTTTGGAATTTCGGAACATTCCTAATTTCTCTTTTTTTTTGATTATCAAGTTAATATACTGTATCACTTCTCTCGATTTTCCCAGAACATCATCAGAATCTTGAACTCCCTCTCACAGTCTAGTGTCAGTTCCATGTTTCAATCGTCGTTCGCTCCTCTTTTCGAATCGTTACGGTCCATTATTCATGTTCGTGGCAATCCGTTTAGTTCGTTTTCACATCCGTGTACTATTAACAAAAAAAGGCGTCACCCACATCTCCCCTAGTTGAGACATCTTCATTCCGTCGGAGAAAGTGCAGAAATTGAAAATCGTCTCTTTCTTTTTTTCGGAAAGCGATAGTAGTTCTCACCCTCAGGAAATCCAGTATATTCGAGACATGTATGTCAGACAATTGACTCTTTTTTTTTTGGCTGGCGTCCGAAATGAAATGAAAATGAGAGAGATGGAAAAAGGAGAAGAATACCCTTTTACTTCCAAAAAACAGCTTACCGAGAAAGAGAGAGAGAGATGGAGACAGAGAAAATTGAGATGTCCGGGTGTGTGTTCACAGTCCATTCACGGCATATGTGGCTTTATTACTATTGGAAACATTTTGGAAACAGCCTGACATGCCTTCGGCGCAGTTTATAGCTAGCTATGCTTTTTGGTATTAACCAAACTTTGAGTTAAAGAGACCCTAAATAATGCCACCCAAACCACCAACTTTTAGCCAATATATTTCGTTTCCTATAAAAGGTATCAAGAAATGGTCAACTGATATAAAATGTTTATCATAACATCAAAAATATTTTGCCAGCTGACCACTTTTTGATATCTTTCACGGGTTCCGAGATAAACTGCCTCAAAGGTAAAAGTTAGGTGATCATTCGATTAAGAGTGCCTACGCTAACTGTACATTTCTGTTCGTTTTGAAAATTCAGTAATTTCCAAGAGCAAGAAATTCCAAGTATTCAAATATTCCAAGAAGTACCGGAAGTTTTAAAATCCTAAAAATTTTCCTATTTTTTCGTATTTTAGCCCGGAAATTATTGAAATTCTTAAGACCTTAATATTTTGGATTCTGAGCTTCGGAACTTTCCAAAAGTTGTATTTAAAGATTTGTTTATTTTCAAAGTTCCGACTTTCAAAATTTTGGAAAGACCCTAGAATAAGCGGTTTACTCGGTCCCTATAATAGATTTTAAAAATATCTCAACTGGTAAATATTGTTGATATTGTGATAAATAATTTATCAGTTGACAAGATTTTGTTATCTCTCATAACAATCGAGATAATTCATCTTAAAGTGCATGCAGACGATGGGGTTCTATTAGAGCAAATATGGTACCCCCAATAATCGATTCGACATATTCTAAAGTTCCAATTATCAGTTTTGGTTAATTTTGAGATTATCTACACTCTTATAATCAGAAATCTCCCATTCCTCTCTTCATCAAAACCAAAGAAAAAACTAGAATATTTTTTCTTGTCTCACTTTCCCTTTCATTTCGGTTTTTGGTTTTCTTTTTTCCTCACTGATAGTCGGTTATCAGTTATCCATGAACGCTTATCGCTTGCCAGTGTCAAAATGAAGCTTCTCTTTTTCTTCTTCTTCTTCTTCTCTTCTTCTTCTTCTTCCTTGCTTGCGCGGGAATTCAAAAACATGTCTTCACCTCATAAAAATGTCACAATAATGGTTATGGATTATGGAGTCACCTTTTTTTTGAAACGGAGATTTCCAAAGAATTACAATTTCAAGATTTTTCCGGTTTTTTTGGAGACAGGAATGAGTCAGAACGTAGAAAAGTTATCCAGTTTTGTTATCAAATCGAGGGATTATTTATTTATTTTAGAAGAACAGATTGCCCCATTAAACACGGATGATTTATTAATCATCTCGGTTTCGTGTGGATGATCATTTTTTGATGATTTTCTAATGGCTTTTCAGTTTTTTTATTTAAGTGATGATTATCAAGGAATGTTGAAATATTAGGAAATCATAAGGATTTAGGATTTATAGATTCAGAATCTGAGATTCTTGGATTCTGCATTGTCTTTTTCGTATTTTCAAATTTAACTTGATTTTTATTTTGAAATTTATAAGTTCTGAGGATCGAAGCCAATTTCTTAAAAGATAAGTTTTAAAATTCTTGACCTTCTGAAATCGAGAATTTCGAAATTGCCAATAATTTCCAAAATTCTAGATTCCTATTACTCAAATTATTTCAGATTGTTAGAATATTATCTCAGAATTTCAGAATCATGATTATAGGACTTCTGAATTTTGGATTTCTTGAAATTTAAAAAATCGATATCTCAGGTTTTCAGAATCTCAAAATATCGGAATTCCAGAATTTTGAACATCTCAGAATCTCAAAATTTTGGAATATGAGATTCTCAGAATCTCAGAATTTCAGAACCTGAGAATCTCAGAATCTCGGAATCACCGGACCCTAGATGTTCAGAATCTCAGAATCTCGGAATCACCGGACCCTAGAGGTTCAGAATCTAGAATCTCGGAACCTCGAAATCTTAGAATCTCAGAATCTCCAAATTCCAGAATTTAGAATTTCCTGAATCTCAGAATCTCAGAATCTCAGAGTCTCAGAACCTCAGAATCTCAGAATCACATGCTCTTAGAATCTCAGAATCTCAAAATCTCAGAATCTCAGAATCTCGAAATCTCAAAATCTCAGAATCTCGAAATCTCGAAATCTCAGAATCTCAGAATCTCAGAATCTCAGAATCTCAGAATCTCAGAATCTCAGAATCTCAGAATCTCAGAATCTCAGAATCTCAGAATCTCAGAATCTCAGAATCTCAGAATCTCAGAATCTCAGAATCTCAGAATCTCAGAATCTCAGAATCTCAGAATCTCAGAATCTCAGAATCTCAGAATCTCAGAACCTTAGAACCCCAAAAACCCAGAATCTCAGAACCTCAGAATCTCAGAATCTCAGAATCTCAGAATCTCAGAATCTCAGAATCTCAAAATTTCAAAAACCGTAGAAATCCTGAATCTATCTGTGTGTCTGTCTGTCCTTGATCACTGATGACCAATATATTCTTGACCAGGCATTTTTCAAGTTTTTTTGTTGGTCTCCTTCACAATCCAGACACACCCCAACCACAGAACATTCAGAAATTTGTATGTGTGTTCCTCTTTATGTAACCATTTCTCCAAATTCTTCTTTCGCCTTCTCCTTATTTCCAAAACTTTGGGAAGTACTCTTATCCCTTCTCCTTCTTCTGTCAAGTGCCTTTAATTCTTATTCTCGAGACATGTATGTCCCTTTTCTATCTCTTCTTCCCGAACATGTTCTTCTTCTTCTTCTGTATGTTATAAACTGGATAAGCTTGTCTCTTGTTTCTCCCGAAAAGGATGGCTTCCTTTCCCCATCGGGGCGTTTCCTTTTATCACGCATCCCAAAAACGACCCCCCTCTGGTCTATGTATGACATACTCAGCTACTGACCACTTTCCGCTTTCTCCCCCCCCCCCCTTTTTCTTGATTTTTTCGACATTTTTGTGGATAGGTTGGAACCTTTTTTCTTGTCTGGCCACTTTTTTCTTGATTTTTTGAACTCCTTTTTGAGACTGTAGTTTGTAGTTTGTAGTTTATTTTCCTTTAAGTCTTGGTGCGTGGGTTACTGTCCCCAAAGGTTCTCTTTCCAACGTTCGACTCTGCAGCTTAATTTTTTTTTCTTGATTTTTTGATTTCTTTATTGAGACTGTAGTTTGTTGTTTTTTTTGCCAACTGGGTTACTGTAGCCAGTCTCCAAGGTTTTTCTAGAAGTTTTGACCTTGTTGCTCATAACCGGATTTCGTAATTTTTTCTAAACTCAAAAGATTTGAAAACTGTTTTTGAAGTTGTGCATGCCTCAAGTTTTATTCTAGGATTACTGTTACACTTGTGAGCTACAGTAATCCTATTTTTCTGAAGTTCTCCTTTGTTCTGTTTCCAACCTGAGATTCTGTTCTGTTTCCAACCTGAGACACATACAAATTTCTGAATGTTCTGAGGTTGGGGTGTGTCTGGATTGTGAAGGAGACCAACAAAAAAATTTGAAAAATGCCTGGTCAAGAATATATTGGTCATCAGTGATCAAGGACAGACAGACACACAGATAGATTCAGGGTTTCTACGGTTTTTGAAATTTTGAGATTCTGAGATTCTGAGATTCTGAAATTCTGAGACTCTGAGATTCTGAGATTCTGAGATTCTGAGATTCTGAGATTCTGAAACTTTGAAATTCTGAATTTCTGAGATTCCGAGATTCTGGGATTTTTGGACTCCAGGATTCTAGGATTCTAACGGATTCTAGGATTCTTGTAAAATTCAGAGGCTCAAAGTTCAAGCTATTCAGACGGGTTTGGAGATTATAATTTTTTGAAATTTAATGATCATAAAATTTTGAAATTCTGCCAAATAAAAAACTCATCATACACCTCATCCACTTTCTCTTCCTGCCGTTTCAGATCGTTATCACTTTGAACCCCCCGCAAAACTTTTCCTTTTTTCCCCTTTTCCCCATATCTCGATTTCTCTCCTCTATCCTCGTTTTTTTCCAGATGCGGCGGCTTTGTGCCATCCTGCCAATTCTCCTACTATCCAATTTTTGGCCAACGGTTGACGGTTTAAATTATAAATGTCACAATGATCAGGTTAGGTTTTGACATTTCAAGGAGTTGAAAATTTGAGATCAGAGGTACCAGAAATGGTACCTACTACTAGAAGCCCATTAACCATCCAATTTAAGTTCAATTATCTCGGTTCTTATCGGAGGTATCAAAAATCTGTCAACTGATAAATCATTTATCATATTCTCGTCAATATTTTATCACTTAAAACTTTTTCGATACATTTTGAAAGAACAGAGATAATCAAACTCAAAAATATATAGGCTTCTTGAATTTCAATAAAAAGTCAAAACTTAAACTTCCAGGTCCTAGTAGTCCAGTCATTCGGAAATGACACAATTCGAATGCATTGTCAGCGGCTGGATTTGTGTGGATATCAAAAATTGAAGTGTGATTATGATGAGCTACAACCACAATGTGGTGGAAAACTCAACTTTGTGGCACATGTCAACCAAAAGGGATCTACTGCCCCGTAAGTTGGGAATTGTGATTTTCTGGAATTTCAGGATCATCTTTTTGAAAATTCGAAAATTTGAATTTCCAATTTTCAAATTGCCATGTTCTAACTTTTCTCAATTCTCCAATTTTGAAGTTCTAAAGTTTTTTTAGAATTAAGATTCCAATAATCAAAAAATGTAATTAATTACCATACTTTCTCTAACAGAAGCTCATCTTATACCTTGACTTTGAGCTCAATTATCCTACTTCCTGTTAAAGATATTAAAAATCTGCCAACTGATAAAATGTTGATAATAATATCACCAATACTTTGTCTGTTGACACTTTTTTGATATATTTTACAGGAACTGAGATAATTGAGCTCAAAGTGTGAGGTGTGATTCTATGTATATTAGAGCAACAGCAGTAACTTCATGATTTTCTCATTTCTCCCCTTTTTTCAGAGTAGAGCACACCTGCTGTAATCTGTTTAACCCTCGATCACATGGCTCAATTCCTACGCATATAGGAAACGATTGCTTCATTTACGAACTCCCCGATGGATCGTCAAACGGAAAGAAAGTGGATCCAGCGCCAGCCGATGATGCTCCATACGCCGTTTTGAAGGTTTGAATTTAAAAGTTCAAAACTTTATTTTTCCAACATTTTATCTCTCCCAAAATTTTTAGAATACCCTGAATGCTCTGAAGGCCCATCCTATATGTTTTCTTTGAGCTTAATTATCTCGGTTTCTGTCAAAGATATAAAAATGCTATAAACTGATAAAATGCTGGTAAGATTATGATAAACATTTTATCAGTTGACCTCTTTTTGATATCTTTTACAGGAACCGAGATAATTGAGCTCAAAGTTAACATATATGACTTCTTGCTTCCTTAGCTAAGCTACAAAGTTCAAAAACATTCGTAAATCCTTCAGAACCCAGCCGAGATACCTGAACAATTCGACGGTGTTACGGGATATCGTCTTCGTCTCTTCCTTCTCAAAAATAAATCGCCACCCACGCTTCTCGTCAAAGGAATCGAACGTCGCCTGTAAGTGTGTGTTTCTTGAAAAGAGAAATCCTTTTTCTGTCACTTTCATTATCGGAATGTTGCAGAGAAGGATACCGAGTGACCATCTGTCGGCCGAGATGTACTTCATACGATAAGGTCGTCAACGATAATGAGGTTAGAAATGGGAAAACGAAATTCGGTAGAAAATGACAGAAGGGAAAGTTATGAAACGGTTATTGGAGACATCCGGACAAGTAAACACTCTAATAGAAGGGCTCCCTAACTTTTCTTTTTGAGCCAATTTATCTCGGTTCCTATAAAAATATTCATGTGGTTGATAACATGATAAACATTTTGTCAGTGAACACATTCAATTTGGAATTTCTGAATTTTCAAACTTTCGAATTTTCCAATTTTCGAGTTCCCAAATTTTCGAATTCCCAAGTTTTCGAGCTCCCAAATGTCATATTCCCATCATAAATCCAATTTCCAGGGAACCCCAGAAAGCGAGTGGAAGGCCATCTCCTGGAGCTCATGGAGCTCATCCTCCTGGTCCACATGGGCTCGTCACGCATTCAACAAGGCAGCTGCTGAAAGTGGAGGATCCGCTGACAGAATCCGTACCAGAATGCCAATTGGAGAGAAGGCTACTGCAGCTGGAGTACCCACCGGAGCAGCTGGATCTGACAAAAACAATATCAACATTCACGTAGAATCAAATGGAAATAACAACAACTCATTTGGAGGAAACGGAAGTGGAGAGAAGAATGGATCCGGTGAGAATGGTTTGAATAGAGAAGGATCCGGAGCCAATGGAGGAGCTGGAGCCGATGGAGCCGGAGCTGGGAGATCAGGAGCCGGTGCCGGAGCCGATGGAGCTGCTGGAGCCGGAGCCGGAACTCATGGAAATATCAACATTACCGTACACACAGATGGAAAGTCTGGAGGGAACGCCGTGGCTGTTGCCAATGCCAATGTTACAGTTAATGGAGCAAATGGAAAGGTGGATACCACTGGTACTGGTGCGTCTGGAAACGGAGCAGCAGGCGGTAACGGAGGAAATGGAGGTCACGGAGATTCCGGAGATTCTAGAGACGCCAAGAAGGACAAGGATCATGGAAAGGGCAAAGGCAAGGGAGATGGAGATGGAGATTCAGACGGAGGAGCTGGAAATGGATCTGGAAATGGATCTGGAAAGGATAAGGGTGATGGAAACGGAGATTCCGATGGCAACGGTAACGGATCAGGAGGATCCGGAGGATCTGGCGACAAAAAACCAAAACCAGCTGGAGAATGGGATGATGGAGATGGAGATGATGATGAATCTGGAAAAGGAACAGGATCTAATGAAGCTGGAAATGGAAAAGGTGGAGATGGCGATGGAGATGGATCCAAGGGAGCCGGAGGATCAGGTGGCAAGCCAGATGGAAACATCAAGATCAATATTCACTCGCCAGATGATAATGATCTCCTTGAGAAGGATGAAAATGGTCCGGGAGGAAATGGAAAGGGAGATGGAGACAAGGATGGTGGAGCTGGAGGCGCTGGAGGATCCGATAAAGACGGCGGAGATGGAAATGGAGGATCCGACAAAGACGGCGGAGCTGGTGGAGATGGAAATGGCGATAAGGATGGAAATGGCAACGGAAACGGCAACGGACTCACCGATGGTGGAGATGGAAATGGAGGATCCAAAAATGGACCAAGAGACAATGATGGAAATGGCGACGGGAACAAAGAAACCGGAGCTGGTGGAAATGGAAATGGCGATGAAAATGGAAACGGAGCTGGAGCTGGTGGAAATGGAAACGGAGACGGAAATGGAGGATCCAATCGACCAAATGGAAATGGTGCTGGAGGAGACGGAAACGGAACCGAAGCTCGTGAGGGCGGAGATGGAAATGGAGGATCCAATGGAGGATCAAATGGATCAGGAGACAAGGGAGCCGGCGCTGGTGGAAAAGGAAAAGGAGATGGATCTGTAGGCGATAAGTATGACAAAGGATCTGGTGGCGCTGGAGGAGATAAGGATGGAAAAGGAGCTGGTGGATCTGGAGCCGACAAGGATGGAAATGGCGGAAACGGAAAAAGCAATAAGGGAGACAAAGATGGAAATGGCAAAGGATCTGACAAGGACAAAAACGGAAAAGACGGAGCTGGAAAGGCCGGAAATGGAGACAAGGATGGTAAAGGAGGCAAAAAAGATGACTCTGGAAAGGACGGAGCCGGATCTGGAAAAGATAAAGATGCTGGAAAAGGAAAGGGAGCAGGAGACAAGGATAAGAAGGGAGGAGCTGGTGCTGGAGGCAAAGGAGCTGGAGGTGCCGGAGCTGGAGGAAAAGGAGCCGGAGCTGGAGCTGCTGCAGCCGGAAAGGGCACTGGCGGAGGTGATGACGATGATGATGTGGATGTTACTGACGTCGAGGTAGGAACCAAGCCACTGACTGGAAACACGCTCAAGGAGCTTCTCGCAAAACTTCCGAATGAGACGGCGGATAAGGATTTGGGGTAGGTTTTGATTGGGGACCTGATCCTTGGGATCCTCGACTCTAGGGGTTCAACAATGTTTTTTCTATTTTCAGCAACGGCGATGAACTCACCAACGCTAGCTTGAACCGTAACCAGCATGCCGAAGGCAGCACTGGAACAGCACCTGGAACATCTGCAGCAGCCGCAAGTGCTCCAGATACGACTGGAGGAACTGGAGGAACTGGAACTACCGCAAATGCCGCTAATACCGGAGGTGGGACAACCGGATCAGGAGCAACGTCATCTGGAACCACAGAGAGCGGATCGACTGGATCCACAGGAGGCTCCGGATCCACAGGAGGCTCCGGATCCACAGGAAGCGGATCCACAGGCACGGGAGCTTCTGCCGCACAGCTCAAAGATCAGCAGTGGCTGCTGACACTCCAGCTGCTGCTGCTGCCGATGCTGTCGCTGCTGATGCTGCTGGAGGTGGAGGTGCTGGCGGAGGTGGAAGATCCAATTGCTTCTCAGCCGACAGTCTTGTAACTACAGTAACCGGACAAAAGAGAATGGATGAATTGCAAATTGGAGATTACGTTCTAGTTCCATCAGCTGGAAACGTGCTGAAATACGAGCGAGTGGAGATGTTCTATCATAGAGAGCCGAAGACCCGAACGAATTTCGTTGTGATTTTCACAAAGAGCGGAAAGAAATTGTCATTGACTGGACGACATTTGTTGCCTGTGGCTGAGTGTAGTCAGGTTGAGAAGTATACAATGAATCCAGATGGAATTGATGCGGCTATGAGGGAATCGAAATATGCGGAGAAGGCAAAGAAGGGAGAGTGTGTGCTGTCGATTGATGCTTCTGGAGATGTCATCGCTGATGAGATTGTTAGGGTGAGTTGAATTTTTGGATTCTTGGACTCATGATTTTTGGATTTTTTGAATATTGGGATTTTTGAATTCTTGACTTCCTAGACTCTTGGATTCTTGGATTCTTGGATTCTGGGATCCTTCGATTCCTAGATTCTTAGATTCCTAGATTCCTATATTCTTGGATTTATGGGTCTTGGGATTTTTGGATTCTTGGATTCTTGGATTCTTGGATTCTTGGATTCTTGGATTCTTGGATTCTTGGATTTTTGGATTCTTGGATTCTTGGATTCTTGGATTCTTGGATTCTTGGATTCTTGGATTCTTGGATTCTTGGATCCTTCGATTCCTAGATTCTTAGATTCCTAGATTCCTAGATTCCTATATTCTTGGATTCTTGGATTCTTGGATTCTTGGATTCTTGGATTCTTGGATTCTTGGATTCTTAGACTCTTGGACTCTTGGATTCTTAGACTCTTGGAGTCTTGGATTCATAGGCTTTTCGAATCTTCCAATCTTAAATTTTCAGATCGGCCGAATGACCAGCACCGGAATCTATTCTCCAATGACCGTTGAAGGAAGTTTGATCGTTGATGGAGTACTGTCATCCTGCTTCTCTCATCTGGAATCTCATTCAGCTCATAAGCTGATCTTCGACTTCCTCTACTACGTATACCACGCGTTTGGTCTTCTGAATAGTGAGTTTTCTCGAGATTTTTGAATTTTTAAGAATCTCAATTTTCAGCCAACCACGTGGAACTTCAACCCATCCCAACATTCGTCAGTTTTGCTCAATATCTCTCAAAAACCGTGTTGCCATTCTCATAAACTATCCAAGTTCCGCCCAATTAATCAATTTAATTTAATAACTTTTGAGCCTCACTAATTTAGAATACATAATTTATTAATTTATTTAATTGTCTTTCAAATTTTGTTTTCTCTCCCGGGTATTTTAACCCAACAATTGTCATCATCTAATATTTAATAATTTTTGCAATAATTTCCCATGTTTCGCCCGAGTGAAAATTCTCGAAATAATGTGTTCCCATCCCATCCCTCCCCATACAACCTTCCCCCATTCAGCATACGTGTTCATTTCTTTTTGCCTGTTTTCCGATTTAGATGTTGGTAATAATTATGATTTTATTTCCACTTCTCAAATAAATTATTGAAGCCCTTTCTTTTTTGAAATTTACAACTACAGAATACGTTTCCCGAACTTCATCAACGGTACACATGGTCTCTGGGTTGTAGCTTGACGCGAAACGGGCGGGAAGATAACGTTGGAAAATGGTCATCCACATGGCACGGTCCTGAACACATTTAGATTATTATGTCATTGAATAGTGCTTGAAATAAGCTTCAAAAAAGAATTCGTGGGCTAGAAAAAAATCAAGAAAAAAATTAGGTCATGACCTAGAAAAAAGTAGGTCGTTACCTAGAAAAAAAGGCTCTTTCCGGGAAGAACGGTCCCAATGTTCCGATAACGGTCCCAATGTTCCGATAACGGTCCCATTGTTCCGATAACGGTCCCAGCGTTGGGACAACGGTCCCAAGGGTACGACAACGGTCCCAACCAGGCTTAACTTTGAAACCCTATTGGAAACATCGGAAATTGTAATTTTTGTTTCAACTAAGGAACACAATTCAGCAACAAAAAGGAACATTTTTGTGATAATCGAGAATTCCAGCACTTCTTTACTTAAATTTTTTCAAAGTGTATTTTGTTTATAATTATAGGCTTATGCTGAAAAACCTTGTTCACATCAGTGCCGGAAAAAGACGTTTTGGCCTAAGCCTACAACACAAAAATCGTAATATTTTGTGAAAAATTCCTGTCAAAAAGTATTGAAATTCCCAAGTATAAGTAAAATGTTAAATTTTCCACTGGATTTTTTAGAGACCATTCCGTTTTTTCTGTATTTCGGGAATATGGTTTCCAGATTAAGCCTGGTTGGGACCACAACCTAGAAAAAATTGGATCTCAACCTAGAAAAAAATGGGTCGTGACCTAGAAAAAATTGGGTCGTGACCTAGAAAAAACTAGGACATGACCTAGAAAAAATTGTTTCGTGACCTAGAAAAAATTGGGTCACGACCTAGAAAAAATGGGTCGTGACCTAGAAAAAAATTAGGTCACGGCCTAGAAAAAAAAATGGGTCATGACCTAGAAAAAACTAGGACATGACCTAGAAAAAATTAGGTCATGACCTAGAAAAAATTAGGTCGTGACCTAGAAAAATTGGGTCCTGACCACAAATCCTGACAAATTTTTTCAAGGACCAGAATTTCATACTAGAGCTGAAAACACACCAGGTGAATATCAGGGCATTACTAGGTCATAAAAGGTGGTGGCCTAGAAAACTCAACTTTCAAAAAAATATATTTGAAAATTGAAAACATGGAGTTTGAAAAAAAAACAACAATTTTTAAGCCTACCAATTTTACACCTGTGGGAAAACCCCGGATACATATTTTCTACACATCTCCTCCCGAATTATTATCTCTTAATAAGAAGACTCTTATCACAAATGAATATCAGAACACTCGACCCGAAATTCCCGACCGACGGCGGCGCACTTTTCCAAGGACACCTATTCGGAGATATGCAGATTCATTATTGTCATCGCGCTTTAGTTTCTCGGACGTTCCTTCAATTGGAACACTTTCATACAATTTGATACTTTTCATACCGTAAAACCTGTAATAGAAGGGTTCCCTTACTTTGAGACATTTTATCTCGGTTTCTGTCAAAGATAGAAAAAAGTTGTCAACTAATAAATTGTTCAACATAATTTCACAAACATTTTATTAGTGCACAGATTTTTGTTATCTTGAATAGATATTGAGATAATTGAGCTCAAATCGAACCATGGGCTTCCGTTAGAGGAATTTTGATATCCACACAGGCCCAACCGCTGTCAATGCATTCGAGTTGTGTCATTTCCGATTGATTGGACTACTAGGACCTGAAAATTTAGATTTTGCATTCTGACTTCTAATTTTCCGTATTTTCTCTAATAGAAGCTCTGCTATGAGCCCAATTATCTCGGTTCCATTGAGAAATATCAAAAATCTGTCAACTGATGAAATGTTGGTGATATTATGATAAACATTTTATTAGTAGACAGATTTTTGTTAACTCTTATAGAAGTTGAGATGATTGAGCTTAACGTTGCCAGGGTGGAAGCCCTTCTATATGTTACGGTACATTTACTGGGTGCTGTTAAATTTGCTGCATCCTTCATTTATATCGAAATATCCTAGAACTTTTTTACAATTTGCAGGATGTTGATTCCTCAATCTTCTCAATCGATGCTGGTCGCTTCGACCATAATTTCAACGTTTGCGTTCTTGGCAACCATCACTATCCTCCCAATTTTCTTCATGAAAGTTCAGAGAATCAACTCTCAAATGCTTACGGATTTGAGAAATTGTCATGTGAGTTTATTCTCTAACTTTTTTTGTATCAAATTTATCGTGGAGCTTAAAAAATCTGCCATCTAAACATTCCTAAAAATTTCAGCAAGACAGTTCGGACATTTGGAAGCAACTTTCTCACAAAAGTGTGAGAGAAAAGAGATCCTACGGAGGACAAAATTCGATTCCAAGTGGAAAATGTAAAATTCTTTACAAGTTAGGGGATTCCATGAAGTTTAAGGGGCTCTGGACAAAATAGAGCGCTCAGGGGAACCCAATGGGTTCCAAGAGGGCTCCTTGGGCTCCCTTAGGTCACCTTGGGCCCCTTGGGTCCCCTTGAGTCCCTTTGGGTGGGCCCTCTTGGGTAATCCGGGTATTCAAGGGGGCCTAAAGAGATCTAACAATAAGGGGACTCACTAAACTGTTGGGAGGCTTTCTTGGGTCCCCTAGTTTTTCAGGCCCTCTAAACTTTCTTGGGATCCCTTAGCTAGGATAAAGCTAATTATTCTGGAATAGAGCCAATTATTTTCTTCCAGGCTGCAGTTGCCAACAAGGAAAACCGGGAGCCATGGGTCCAAAAGGATCTGATGGTGCTCCAGGATCCCCAGGAATCATTGGACTAAACGGGCGAAACGGTCGAAACGGAAAATATGTGGCATCCGAAGCCCACAACGAGCCAGCATGCCAAAAATGTCCAGTGGCACCACCAGGTCCGCCAGGACATCCAGGAAGAAAAGGACTACGCGGACAGTCTGGAAATGCTGGAACTGCTGGAAAGAATGGAATTCCGGGACGAATGGGACCACCAGGACCACCAGGAGTAAGAGGGCCACCAGGAGAATTGGGAATGCAGGGACCACAGGGAGATCCTGGAAAGGTTTTGAATGGAGCACCACAAGGACAACCGGGACGTCCAGGAAAGGTTGGGCCAAGAGGAAAAGGAGGACATACTGGAAGGTTAGCCGATTTTGGCTTTATATTTTTTGAAAATTCTCACAAGGTTTTAAATTTCACCAACAATTTCCATCCATTTTTCTTAGATTTCACTTTTTGTCTGCTCCTCTTTTTTGGTTACTTTTGTTCTCACGAACAATAGGAAAAAATGGCCAAAAGTCAAAACTTTGTTTATTTTTCGTGCCATCTACAATTTGGCTATGTACAGGGTATTGACCGGTTTTTTGGTTTTCGATCTGTGAATGAACTTCAAAACAGACTTGAATGTGGTAGGTAGGTGGCAATTTAGTCGACTAGTTGTTCAAATCTTTCTGTACTTTCTGTGAATGACGTTTTATACCGAAACGATTGTAAAACCTGTAATAGAAGGGCATGCCAACTTTGAGCTGATTTTTTTGAATTTGGCGCCAAAAGGGTGTCCCAGTGAACGGGTAACAAGACATTCCAACGAAAAATTCCGAAAATAGTCAAGTCGAAAAAGTACCGAAATTTGCGAAAATCATCGGTATTTTCACATTCGCGACAGTTTTATGAAATTTTAAGATTTTCTCGAATTTCAGAATTTCAGAATCTCAAAATTTAAAAATTACAGTACTGAAATTTCTGAATTTCTGAATTTCTGAATTCCTGCATTCCTGAATTTCAGAATTTCTGAATTTCTGAATTTCTGAATTTTTGAATTTCTGAATTTCTGAATTTCTGAATTTCTGAATTTCTGAATTCCTGAATTTCTGAATTTCTGAACTTCCGAATTTCTGAATTTCTGAGATTCTGAGATTCTGAGATTCTGAATTTCTGAATTCTGAATTTCTGAATTCTGAATTTCTGAATTCCTGAATTTCTGAATTTCTGAACTTCTGAATTTCTGAATTTCTGAATTTCTTCTCAAAAATCATTGCTCTATTACTGCTCCTTTTCCATTGAATTTCTAGAAACTTGCCTATTTTCAAGTTTCAACAAAACCTCAAAAAACCTCAAAACTAACGTCATTTTTTGAAACTGATCCCCCAAACATATGATGGCTCCTGGCTCACTAGACCCCACACTACTGAACAGAAATAATTAAACTAAATGATACACCAACTCTTCTTTGTTTTCTCTCTCTCTCTCTCTCTCTCTCTCTCTCTCTCTCTCTCTCTCTCTCACTCACTTGCTCCTCATCACTATATGATCCTCCGTTCGTATTTGTTTTTCACCACAAAACGCCCTTTTGTTGTTTTCTTTCTTTTTTCGCCCCGTTTTTCCGAGAGTGCTTGCTCTCACGAGCATAGTTTTTCCCTTTGTTCCATCTCTCTCGGGCCGTTCTCCTCCAAAGAGCAAAAAATATGAGCATCATCAATTTAACGTCATAATCATGATTCCTTGCCACTTTCCCTTTGTCTCTTTGGTTTTGTTCCGACTTTTGAAAAAAAAACACATTGCCAATCGGAAAATTGGATTGTTTAAAATTGCTAGTTGATTTTAACCACAAGGCAAAATGTTCGATAAGCTGAGATTCAAGATTCTGAAGTTCTGAAATTCTTTCCGAAGTTCTGTAACTCGTTTCTAAAGCTGTGAAATTCTTTTTGAAGTTTTCTGAATTTCTGAAATTCTAAGACTTCATGAGATTCTGAAAGGACGCAAAATTGATATTCCTAAATATTCTAGTTCTCTATATTCCAGTTCTGATCCTAATTTTTAGAATCCCAAACAAAAGATCCGAATTTTCTGATCCTAATTTTTTAGAAACCTAACAAAAAACCTAATTTTCTAATCATAATTTTCAAGAAACCTTTCGAAAGATTCCAATTTTCCGATACTAATTCTTAGAAACCTAACAAAAGATCCTAGGTTTCCGATCCTATTTTCCGGAAACCTACTATGAAAATCCACATTTTTGCAATCCGGATCCTCCGCTTTCTTCCCAATTGATCATGATCATCCCTATCACACCCATCTTTCTCCCCCGGTCATTTCCGTGTCGTCCCCCAATTTTTTTCTCATTTCCGCCGATCGGAAAAAAGGGATCAGTGGGAGACAAAAAATTAGTGATTTTCCTGTCCAGCTGGTTCGGAGAGGAGTGTGCGCCTTATAGTGTATTCTGCGATTTTTGATGTTTTTTTGAACAAAAAAGAGTTTCGATTCTACTGATAACACTGTTTGTGGTCTTTTGTCTTATCAGGATTCCTGATAAGACAAAAGGAGTGGTTAATTTACCTTCTCAAAATGTTATATGTGCCGGTTTTTCGTTTAGGTTACAGTACCTTTTTTGATTTTTTGGTTTCTCTTTTGTCCTTGAAAGTTGAGAATCCCGGTTTACAATCAATGTAAAATAGTGTAGGTGACCTATTTTTCACTTTGTTTTATTTTTTTCTTCTGCACAAGAGTTTACTTGTAAAGTCTAGAATGTACCTTGTGTTTTTATAGCTTTCAAAAAATCGTTCCAAAATAAAAAAAGTAAAATTATATGAAGGTTACTGTATTGTTTGAGTCAGCTAGAGACGCAGACAGTCAGACACGCTAGCTTCTCTGTGTCTCTGTCTATGATATTTTAACGTTGTTGAAGCTACTGACTTTGAGCGCGCATATCTCTACAACCATAGTAGCTAGCAGAATACTGTCAACTAACAAAATGTGAGAAATGCATTTTTCAGTATTTCATTAGTCAACAAATTTTTGATATCTTTCACAAAAACTGAGATAATTGAGCTCAAATTTGACTATACATGTACTTTGAGCTCAATTATCTCGGTTCCCATAAGAGATATCAAAAATTTGTTGACTGATAAAATGTTTGTGATAATGTTATCAACATTTTTTTAGTTTACAGATTTTTGATATACCTCACAGAAATCGAGATAATTGAGCTCAACGTTGGTGGCGGTTCGGGTGGGTTTCTATTAGAGGAAATACGGTATCTCCTTAACTATTACAGACCAAAGAAGTCGTTTTTGAGATACAAGAGTTTGTGATTACTGTGTTGTATGATGATTTTCTTATGATTCGAAAAAATCCTCTTTTTTAGTTCTATCTTTCAGTCCATTTACTTCTCAAGCTAATCCAGTCTCTTCTTTCAGAGACGGTCGCCCGGGTCTCGAAGGAATCGCTGGTGCTCGAGGAGTTCAAGGAGAACGTGGCTCTCGTGGAGCTCGTGGACCGCCAGGACCACCAGGACCATCCGGAACCGACGGTCGTAAAGGATCGTGTTCTCATTGTCAATCGGACGATAAGCCACATCGGGGTGCACCACAGGAGGAGCCGAATCCAGAAGGAGAGTATTCTGAGCAACAACCAGTGGAAAGTATTGAGCCAGTCCCACAAAGAAGACCAGCTCCAGTACCAACTACTACTACAACCGAAGCAGCCCCAGTTTATACGGATCCAGTGACTCAGGAACCAGTTAGACATAGAGCTTACCCAGCAGCTGCACCACCTTCTTCTTATAATACTGGAAACTCTGGTAGGTCTTTTTTCGGAACCAAAAACTTGAAATTTGGAATTTCTCTAATAAAAATAAAAATTCTAATACATTTTTTATTACTTTTCAGAAGTGGTTCCCAAGACAATAAACTACCCGGACACAATCAATCAGCCCAACTATAAACACGATGGTGATGTGAGTGGCGCCGCCGGAACTTCAGATGATAGTGAAGACGTTAACGTCATCCCAGCTGGACAGTATTCTAGCAGACAGTACGCTTCGAAAACGAACAAAATTGGAAAGGCCATTCATTTCGGTTATTCCAATGATCAACTATCCGCATTCAAACCAATGGGAGGAGGAGCCGATGAAGAGGAGGAGATTGAGGGATATGGACAGCCAAGAGCATTCCAGACTAATAAGGTGAGATATCAAAATTTCGCAACCTAAAAACATATTGATGATAATATAACAAACATTTTATCAGTTCACAAATTTTTGATATCTTTTTTGCGTACCTAGGCAATTGAGCTCATCCGGACCGTTAACTTTGTGCTCATATATCTCGGTTCCTATGAAATTTATCAAAAAACCGGTCAACTAATAAAATGTTTATCATAATATTAAACACATTTTGTTAGTGGACAAAAAGTTGTTAACTCTTATAGGAACCGAGATATGTGGGTTTAAAGGTGATGGTATTTTCTCATTCGACGTAAATTGTGTCCCTAATTTGACCTAATTCTTTTCCAGGGCTACAACGTGCAAATCATGGGATCTTCTCCCACCAACAACAACCCGACCTACCAAGCCGCCCCAGTCGGCACCGCCTGGAAGCAGCCAGAAAATCACAAAAACCGTCACTACACCCCACAATATCTCCCGCCACCCGCCTACATCCTCTAATAATACTGACAATTTCCCAATTGCCATCGGCATCTCTTTGTGGTTTTCGGCTGTTTTCAATTTTTTGTATGTTCTCAACTTTATCACTGGCAAAGTGGTTATTTATGATGAATAATAAATTATTTCGGAATGGACAAAGAAGCATAAATGTGAAAAAAGATCATGACCGTATTGATTTCTAACACGAAACGAAACAAATAACATAAATTCAGGCTGAAGGATAAGGAAATGGAGTTCATTTTCAGTTCAAAGAAATTTGAAATGTCTATAGAGCGCGTTTCCATTAATCATTTTTAACCATGCTTCAATGATTACCAAGTTACAGTACCTCAGGGGCGAAAGTCGTATGGTCAACTTCGGCGCCCCAAAAAAACCAGTTTAGAATTTTTCGAGTTTTCTGAAAATTTCAGAGTATACTAAACTTAGATTTTGAGACATGCTCCTTGAAAGATGGAAGCCGCCACAGTGCAAGAGAGAAAGAGGAGAGCAGGTTTTCAAAAGCGCACATTTCCGAATCCAAAAAAAATTTTTTTAAGTTGTCAATTACAAAAATGGAGCTCTAGTTTTGTTTAGTATACTCTGAAATTTTCGAAAAAAAAAGAAAAGTTCTGAACCACTTTTGTAGGATTTTAAAAGGGACTACCGTAAACAATATAACAGAAGGCCGTCAACTTTGAGCCTATATACAACCGTCTACTTTGAGCCTACACGAGATATATGGGACTCAAAATGTGGGTGTGCTTCTCATACAGTGATTACGGTATGTTTCATTGAAGTCACAGTAAGACTTTTTGTTTGATATTCTAGACTGATTTGAATTATGAACTCCATTCCCCTATCCCCAGAATTTCCAAAATAAAGATTCAAAATTAGACAGCCGTTGGAGGTGGTTGTAGGAACTGTCGATGTAGCGTATCTCCACACATTTCTTCATCGAAATCGTCATTGGAATGACTGAAAACCGAGTGACGAGCCCAATTTACAGAGTGTCGGGTTCGCTGAAAAATGTTTTTTTTTTAAGTTTCAGCTCCCCCACAAATTCAGGGTGGCGCACAATTATCTGGACTCATAAAAATTGGTACACTTAGACATAAGTATCTTGAAAGCTTTAAAAATTGGTCGGAATATATTTTGACGGTTGATCCAAAGCTACTGAAGTTTTCAAAGCGATTCCTCAAGCTTAGGTATTGTTATTATTGTCCAAAAATGAACGCCGCAGTGTTTCCTTGTAATTTTCATGGGGTGAAGCAACTTTAACAAACGAAAACATTGACAAGCGATAACTCAGCTCAACGTTAATCAATTAAATTGAAACTTGGCCAGTTTTCTGATAAATTCCTTGAATACTTGCACTTTAAATTTGAACCCAGTACAACGCTTCACTCAAATTTTATGCTAGTTCAAACTTGATTCAGGGTAATTTTCCGTAGAAGGCAGTTTTTGACGGATGAATTTCTGAATAACATTTTTCAGATGCTTCCAGAATGAATTATTAATTATATGATTCAGCGGACTCACTTCCAAAACAGCATGTGGTAAATTGTGCAGTGATTCCACTTTGCAACAGTGAAAAACGATAACGACTGCAATTGAAAAAAGGAGAAGAAGTGAGCACATGGCGATTGCTAACACAACAAGAAGTGTTTCAGGAGATAGAGTCATTCTGAAACGTTTTTAAGATTAACTTTTAATGAGATGAAGAGAAATTGGAAGGATGGATATAATGAGGGATGAAATTGCTCTCATGATAAATTGGGAGAAAAGAGCCAGGAAGGAGCTGGATACTTCAAGTTCAAAATGTCACGATTCTAGAATTTTTTCTAATTCTAACAAGGATTCGGATCTTCTTGGATTCTGAGATTCTGCGATTTCGAGTTTCTAAGATTCTGGGGTTCTAAGATTCTAGGATTCTGACGTTTCGAGATTTCGAGATTCTGAGATTCTTGGAATCTGAGATTCTTGGAATCTGAGATTCTGAGATTCTGAGATTCTGGAATTCTGAGATTCTGAGATTCTGAGATTCTGAGATTCTGAGATTCTGAGATTCTGAGATTCTGAGATTCTGAGATTCTGAGATTCTGAGATTCTGAGATTCTGAGATTCTAAGATTCTGAGATTCTGAGATTCTGAGATTCTGAGATTCTGAGATTCTGAGATTCTGAGATTCTGAGATTCTGAGATTCTGAGATTCTGAGATTCTGAGATTCTGAGATTCTGAGATTCTGAGATTCTGAGATTCTGAGATTCTGAGATTCTGAGATTCTGAGATTCTGAGATTCTGAGATTCTGAGATTCTGAGATTCTGAGATTCTGAGATTCTGAGATTCTGAGATTCTGAGATTCTGAGATTCTGAGATTCTGAGATTCTGAGATTCTGAGATTCTGAGATTCTGAGATTCTGAGATTCTGAGATTCTGAGATTCTGAGATTCTGAGATTCTGAGATTCTGAGATTCTGAGATTCTGAGATTCTGAGATTCTGAGATTCTGAGATTCTAAGATTCTGAGATTCTGAGATTCTGAGATTCTGAGATTCTGAGATTCTGAGATTCTAAGATTCTGAGATTCTGAGATTCTGAGATTCTGAGATTCTGAGATTCTGAGATTCTGAGATTCTGAGATTCTGAGATTCTGAGATTCTGAGATTCTGAGATTCTGAGATTCTGAGATTCTGAGATTCTGAGATTCTGAGATTCTGAGATTCTGAGATTCTGAGATTCTGAGATTCTGAGATTCTGAGATTCTGAGATTCTGAGATTCTGAGATTCTGAGATTCTGAGATTCTGAGATTCTGAGATTCTGAGATTCTGAGATTCTGAATTTCTGCAGTTTTGAGATTCTGAGATTCTGAGATTCTGAGATTCTGAGATTCTGAAATTCAGAGATTCTGAGATTCTGAGATTCTGAATTTCTGCAGTTTTGAGATTCTGAGATTCTGAAAGTCTGAAATTCAGAGATTCTGAGATTCTGAGATTCTGAGATTCTGAGATTCTGAGATACTGAGATTCTGAGATTCTGAGATTCTGAGATTCTGAGATTCTGAGATTCTGAGATTCTGAGATTCTGGGAATCTGAGTTTCTGAGATTCTGAGATTTCGAGTTTCTATGATTCTAAGATTCTGAGAAGCTGGGATCATAACATTTGGAGATTCCGAGTTTCTGATGCTCCGAAATTCTGGAATTTCGAGGTTACAGAATTTGATACATTTGAGATTCCAAGAAGTTCTGAAAAAGCAAACATGAAAAATCTAAACTTCAGAAATCTAAAAAAATCTGAAAAGCCAAAAATTTCCAGTGAATTTGGAAGAATCAGAATTTCAGAAAACTCACAGAATTTTTTACAGAATTTCAGAAAACTTCACAGATTCACAGATTCTGAGATTCTAGGATTCAAGGATCCTGAGATTCAGAGATTTTCAGATTCTAAGGTTTTGAAATTCAAGGATTCTAGGATTTTGGGGACCATGAATCAAAGACCGAACGAAAACAACTTACGTGAAGAAACAATATTTCTCAACAATGGGTTCCTTGGCGACAACAGTGGCTAGCATGGGAGGAGGGACAAGAAGAAAAATCTGAAACAAAAAACTATTCTTCGAAAAAAAGAGTTTTCAGGGAAAGAGAGAAAAACGGGGTCCATAGAAGAATATGTTCGATTGGGCGGGAGAATTTCACGCTCTAATGCTCACATCATCTTCATTTTTAGATGGAGTAGGGAGAAGAAGAAGGAGGGGAAGAGGAAAAAATGGGCAGAAAATATTACTACTACTACCTTCTTTTTATATTTTTATACACAAAGAGAAAAGAAACAGCTCCAGACAATGGAGAAAATGAATAACATTTTTTGGGGGAAAGTCTGGAAAAGAGGGATTCTTGTTTTTTTGAGAAATCATTGGGAAATTCAGAATTCAAAAAATAAGAACAAAGGAATTCTGAGATTCTGAGATTCTGAGATTCTGAGATTTTGAGATTCTGAGATTCTGAGATTCTGAGATTCTGAGATTCTGAAACTTTAAACTTCTGAAACTCAGAAATTCCGAAATTCTGAAACTCAGAAATTCCGAAATTCTGAAACTCAGAAATTCCGAAATTCTGAAACTCAGAAATTCCAAAATTCTGAAACTCAGAAGTTCTGAGATCCAGAAATTTTAGGATACTGAAATTCTGAAATTTCGAAAAAGAAGAAATCAAAGTTTGTGATTTTTCGAGCGGAAAATTTGACATTCAAAACACATTTTATTGGGTTGAAAATGAAGAAATCGGTCTTAAAATCTCAGAACCTCGAGATCTTTTTTCAAAGAATTTCTGAAAACTAAGAAAATTTGGAATATTCTCCACTGAAATCGTCATAAAAACTTATGAGGATAAAATCGAATTTTCAGGAGAAAGGAGAAGAATTTAGGAGAAACCGCTCAATTCCACTCGCCGGAAAAAAATGAATAGAAAATAGAATTTTTCAGTAGGAACATTCTGTTTTTTGTGTCTTCGTCATCACTCTTCTTCCAGAAAGACAAATTATAATCGAAGAAGTGCCTGGACAATGGAAAAAGGACAAAGAAGGGTTTTTTCCGTTTTGTATTACTGTACCAACAATCTACCGTAATTCTAATTTAGAAAACAAAACAAACTACAGTAATCCTGAAGGTACAGTATTCCTGAAGGTGTCAAAACAAAACCTCTTTTCCCATATGATAATCCTTTCCATTTTAAAATCAATTCCCTTACAGTAATCCTTTTCAATTCAATTCAATTCAATTTATTACTTTTCATTTTCAAACATTTTTCCCTGCAGTAATCCTTTTCATTCCTGATTTTTATTCAACCTACAGTAATCGTTTTCATTTTTGAATATTATTTCTTACAGTATTCTATGAATCCGTTTTCAAATTTGAATCCTCTTTGAAATAAGAATATATAATTCATCACTACTGTTTTGGACTTTGTACTGTATCAATTTTCTTCTCTCTCCTCTCTCATCTCTTAAACTCTCACCACTTCCTAACTCCCCATTGCTCACTCTTAACACACTCATTATGACAACCGTCTCTCGAGTTTCAGTAATGACACACATTTTTCCTCAGTTTTCAGAGACCCCGCCCCCTTTTCTTCCTTATCATTTCTTTCCAGCTCTTCACCGGTGACGGTCGACTCATATCGGTCTCTTTTTTCCCCTTTTTGCGCCGTTTGGCCAGTTCGTTCATCTCGCATTTTCGTTTCCCCCTTTAATATTAATTCCAATTTACCAGTTCTTCTCAAACCAAAGGATTATGTCAAACGCTGTTAGTAGGGGGCCGCCTGGGGGGAGAGGAAAGCCCAATCAAAGTGAGTTTCGAGAATCGGAATCTTGAAACTGACATCTCAGGTTTTTCAGACTATTATCAAGATCACAATGCTGGTGGTGTTCCCGATCAAGGGCAACAATTTGTAATGCCAGTAGTCCCACAGCAAGGACAGGGTTATCAAAGATACCAACAAAATCAGATGCAGCAGCAAGGGTATCAACAACCCTATCAACAACAATACCAACATCAGCAATATCAACAGTATCAGCCACATTCGCAGGCTCCTCCATATCAACAACATGCACAACCACCTCAGCCATTGTGAGTTTTTGTTCATCACTGTTCAATGAAATAAATGTACATGCTTCATCGCAAAATTTCAGCGGTGGATACGCCCAGCAGGAATATAGTCATCAGCCTCACATGTACAATCAAAGCTATCAGTACCGAGCTCCTCCACAACAATATATGCAAAGCGACACTGTCACTTTTCCACAACCTTCACAGCCTCCCATGACAGCTCCTGCACCGGCAGAGAAACGACAGAGGAAACTCCTCGAGATCGTGGATCCAAATACTAAGAAAGCTATAGAAGTGAAACCACTTCAAACACCGACTGCTCCGGTGATTCCTGCTGTTCCACTCGGCCCAGATTTTGATTACAACAAAACGGACAAAGGGTGGCACTGAAAATGCAACATATTATCTTTTTTAATTATTTTTCCTCACAGTATTAAAGGATTTTATTTTTTGGCAGGTAATTCTTGAATAAAGTTTTGTATACCCTTTGAAAATTATTGTTTTTTATGAAGCTAATGAACAATTAGAAGCCAATTAGAAGCCTGCCCAAACTTTCCCATATACATATTTTGCTTCCTTTGTTAGATATCAAAAAGTGGCTCACTTAGAGCTCAATTATCTCTTTTCCTGGGAAAAATCTCAGAAATCGGTCAACTGATAAAATGTTCATCTAAATATCACCTACATTTTATTTGTTTACTAAATTTTTATATCTCTTATAAGAATCGAGAGAATTGAGCTCAAAGTGCAATATAATTTTTTACTGCTTGTGAATAGAGTAGAAGTTCAGCTTCAGGAAAAAATCTTGCCAACAAAAAAATAGTTCAATTTATTATTAGAATGGTAAACATTCAAGATAAAAACAGGTTTCGTGCAGAATTTCCAGCTGAATGTCGGCTGCGACGACTGTAGATCGATAGGTTATCCACAAAGTCCAAACCATCCATAACGTCGGGTGAGAAGGCGATGACACCGTCTTCTGGCTGAAACATAAGTTTTTTCCAGGACTCCAGGATTCTAGGATTCCAAGATTCCAGGATTCCAGGATTCCAGGATTCCAGGGATCCAGAACTCCAGAATTCTAGAATTTCGGGATTCCAGGATTCCAGGATTCTAGAATTTCAGGAATCCAAGAATCCAAACTCACCACCGTCTTCTCCACATCATCTTTCCCAACCAACATGCCAAATCTAGCCAACGCATGTAACTGTCCAACGCCTGACACCAATCCTTGTTTCATATTCAAAGACTGTGCTAATTGGAACATTTTTCCAGCCAACTGCTTAGCCTTTCCGACATGTCTTCCCATGTAATGCACTCGATCAATCATTTCGGCAGCGACAATATCCAACGTGATTGTGACAAGAATCACACCAACCGCAAGGAACACAACCATATGGATCACGTTCATGTCCGGCTGAAAATTGTTGACCTAATTTTTGAATTTAAGAATTTCAAATATTTTCAATTTTGTAGCATCGGTTAAATGTGGTACGGTAGTTTTGAACATTGCGTTGTTTAGTAAGAATATAAAGTTATGTACTAGTTTAGTCTAATTTCAAAATTCCGAAATTCGAAAGTGGACGGAGCTTAAGTCCGGTAGCGAAATCAAGTTTCTTTAAGGATTTTGCAACCTAAGCTCCGCCCACTCTCGATTTTGCGGTCTCAGCGTTAACTTTGAAAAAAACTCACTGTCAAATCTCCGAACCCAATTGTAAAAATGGAGGTCAACGAAAAATAGACAGAATCCAAAAATGTGATACTGGAAGTGGAGCAAAGAATCCAGCCGACAACTAGAGGATAGGCAAACAGGAGGCATACAAAGATCGCAGCAGGTATTGCCATGTTCTGGAAAATTCTATGTTCAAAAATCACTTTTGAACTCTCGGAAGCAATAGAGCTCGATTGCTCAAATACGTTCACATTGTAGAAACCCTTTGAGCTCAATTATCTCAGCTCCTATGGGAGATATCAAAAATAAGTCAATTGATAAAATAATGCTGATATTGTGATAATTAACTTATTAGTTGAGTAATTTTTGATATCTCTTATAGAAACCGAGTGAAATTGGCTCAAAGTTGAAGACTGGGTGGGCTTCTATCTTGCCTATACGTGCACTTCGATCTCGATTATCTTGGTTCCTATGAGAAATATCAAAAATCTGCCAACTGATAAAATGATGATAAATGATAAACATTTTATCAGTTGACTAATTTTTGATATCTATCATAGGCACTGAGATATTTGAGCTCAAAGTAGGCTGACTTACCTCCCCAAACCATCTAGTCACTAGCTGTGCCGCAAATTTTCCAGTATCAGCCATAGTGACCAAAGTTAACGGAATACCTAAAAGAGCATAAGCAACCAAGCAGATTCTACCGTACGCGGAGACTGGGAAAATGTAGCCATAACCTGAAAAATTGTTAAAGTTGAGCAAGTTTGCTCCAATGCAAAAGTTCTCTCACCCACTGGGATTACTGTAGTCGTCGTAAAAACCAATGCTGAAGAGAAGGACCACATGTCTTTAGGAACGCCGTTCGGGATTATAAAATGCTCAAAAGCATGTGCATTATGAGCATCTTCCAGCATGTACATCAATTTTTTGGTGTAAGTTTCCAAGATTCTGTCTGTTTCTGGTTGCAAAGCACTCAGATTTCCCAGAAATTGATCTTTCAGCTCTTGAAATTTGAAAATCGCTTTCGCTCTTCTTTTCATTTCTTCTGGCCGCTCGATTGATAGAAATAGGTAAGCTCCGCCCACTGCATAAGTGACACAACTAACAACAAGTCCAGTATGAAGTGCAAGAGGACCCAGATGCTGAAAAAATTTTTTTAAAAAGTAGGTTCCTCGGAATTTTGCCTCTCGTGGATTTGAACTTATGGGCCCACCGCTGGTGCAGCCGCGACGCTACCAGTTGTCAAATTTTTGATATCTTTGGCAGGAATCGAGATAATTAGGCTCAAAGTAGACTTGAAGAAACTTCGGAATAAAACTTACAATTTTTAAGTTTAAAAAAACTCACATATTTCTCGATCAAACTTCTCTCTGTCGTCGATTTCTTATCCTTACTCGCCGCGGATAACATCTGAATTTTTGCATTTTCCTCCAGCGACACAGTCATTTTTAGGGATGGGAGGATTGAAGGGGAAGGAGCGAATAGAAAAAAGGAGGAGAGTACCCTGGTCCGGTTTTATTAAAATATTCAAAAGAGCTCATAAAATGATGAGAGTGGCAGACATAAAATACTAATTGGATGGACGACGTATTGGAGTCCTGGAATAAGGAAACAAGGGGAAAAATGAAGAAGTCTATTTTGGAGAGAGAGAGCGGGTACTGAATTTTTGATAATTGAGAAAGAATTAGGTCACTATATATAGGTTTCGTTGGGAAATTGGATTCCAAGATTATATGATTCCAGGATGCTAGAATCCCTGGATTCTAAAATTCCAGGGTTCCAGGATTGCAGGATTCCGAGATTCTAAGATTCTAGAACTTTAAGATTCCACGATTCCACGATTCTGGGATTCCAGGATTCTAGGATTTCCAGATTCCGCAATATCAAGATTTCAGGATTTTGGGAACCTAAACTTCCAAAATTATAGGATACCAGGATTCTAGAATTCCAGGATTCCGAGAATCTAGAATCTCTAGATGTTACAACTAGGATTGTAGGATTTCAGGATTTCGAAATTCCTAGTTTCTAGGATTACATTTTTAGGTTTTGTGAAGGATAAACACCGTTTATATAATATTTTCAAAGTCTCAGAAACCAATTCCAGTATTCCGATAAATAGTTCTGCCCGGTAAAAGAAACACTACGTCAAGTATAAAAAAACTAGAGAACAATGAAATATAATATATCCATTTTTCTTTGGGAAAAGACCCAAAACTTTTTTCCTCCTCAGGACCGAGTTGAGCCCAATTGTCTCAATTTCTCTATTGCCTCTCTCTTCATCTTACACACTATTTCTCCCCCATCCGGATCCATCAGAAATGCAACGTCGTCTCACCTTGTTTCCGTCATTCAACTCGCCTATTTTTTGGTATTTATATTTCATTCAACGGGAATTGTAGACTCTGCAACACAAAAGTATATTAAAAAACCAAGTTTATTAGGATTAATATTGGGTCAGCATTCAAAAATTGCACAAAAAAATGAGGGAGATCACATCACAGAAAACAAAAAAAAAATGAAAGAGAAGAATTCTCTTAATTTAGCTTTTTCGCCTTTTGCTCCATTAATTTGATGGCCTCTTTGATCACTTCATCGTCCTCGTCCTCATCCGCTTCTCCGCCTTTTTTGCCATTCAACTTTTTCAAAAGTTTATTGCGTTGATTCTTCTGCTTCTTCATCGATTGTTTCGCTCGCCAATTGAACATCAAAACCACTAGTATCAAAGGAATTGCCAGCGCGAGAAGGGATTCAATGGAGTGGAATCGATGGTTGGAGGTCATGAAGACGAGGGAATTGCTGGTCAATGGAGTTCATCTGAATATTCTGACTTTTAGGTAACTGAAATAGAAATACAGGACGTTTGTCTTCAGGTACCCGCTCACATTCCTTATACTGGACACGGTAGTTCGTATTCCGTATAAAGAGACTTCAATGCTTCAAATCATATCCAGAAATGCGACTTGTAAGATTTTCAACTAAGTTTATCTCCTTCCCTCCTTTTTCCGAAGTTCCCATCTTTTTATCAATAGAACTTTCTCAAGTTCTGTTTCTTTAATTGTTTCAATCATTTTTATCCAAGATTTCTCTTTGATGTTAACACTCCACACTCAATTCCATTCAAAAACATTATATTTGTCTATGTTACACTCGAAAATTTCAATTTTCCATTCTTCTTCTCATGATAAATTACTCTTAACTCTATTTTTGATAATTTTTCATCGATTTTCGTTCAAATTGGCGAAAATTTGTTGATTCTGTGAAGGAATGTATGATGTTGTTTGAATAAAAACTGAGAAACACAGCAACATCATTTTATTCAGGATTTGAGAAGCAATATCATTTTATTCAGGATCAAGATGAGATTAAAGGTGGGGGGACAGGAGATTTTTCGTAGTTTTTTTGTAGCTAGAGTATGCATTCTACCGTCACGGTGTACAACGCTAAATGTCACTACAGCTGTCGTCCTCGCCTTTATGTATGCAAACGGGCGTGCGCTTTCTCTTTGCCCGCGTGGCTCAGTCGGTAGCGGCGCCGCACCCTCAATCATCGCCCTCACAAGTTCAACTCCTCGAGGGGCGTCTTTGAACGGAAGAACATTATTTTTTTCATGTCCCCCCCACCTTTAATGCAGTGTTTCTTCGATTCATGAACATCTCGAATTGCTTCTGATTTTCAGAGTGTTTCTTTTGAGGATATATTTTTCAAAGCCAAGTCAGAACCTGAAAAACTCGATCGGAGACGTATTTGGAGTAATTTGTCGACTGATCGCAGAATATTCATCATTCCGTCATAGTTCGGATAACAGAAGGAGATTTTTCAAATAGGATAATAGTAAACATGGAGAAAATCACCAAATTTTCGTCATGACGCGTCAATTTAAACGAACATCGGTGAAAAATTATCAATTGATAAAAAGCCATTAAATACCGTGCGGCGCTTTTGTGAAAAGGGGCGGAGCGCCTCACATTAGGTTGTTTGCTTGTTTAAACACAATTGTTTGTGAACTGACATTCATGAATATGAATGAATTATTACATGAATTTCTAACAACTAAGTTCCTAACAACTTTCTATTTATATACGAATTTCCAACAACTTTCTTTCAGGCAGAAACATCACCGCAAACCTCAATGTCTTTAGCTGCAAATAATGAGAATGACGAGGAACGATATGTCATCGGTAAATTCGGATAGAAAAAATAGTTTAACTGATGAAACTGTTTCTCAGAAGGCGTCAAAAATCTCATAGCTCTCTCGAATATTGCCAAGTTGAAAGAACGAGAAAATGAGTCGCTTCGCAAGGAAAACCAATCACTTAGAGAAGAACATGCAAAGACTGTTGAGTTAGAAAGAGAGCGAGTGATCCATCTCAAAAATATTGAAGTTCTTCGGGAACGCGTAGAAGAGTTGGAGAACACTCGAATTGATGTGAACAGACGCGAGTGTGGGACGCAAGTTGAAGTTCTAGAAGTATCGGTTTGCGATGTGTCATCCCTCACAAAAGAGAAAATCAGCAGTTCGGACGATACGTGTCTCCGAGAAGAAATCGACAAGCTAATCAAATGTATGGAAGAGCTGTCCGAGGGAAGGCGAATAGAAGACCTTCCGGAGTCATTCCGATTGGAGCCTCCTCCGTACTACTACAGCTCAGATACCTTTTCTAGAACCGTCGATATTTTGAAGACGATTATGAAGGGTGGACGATTCCTAAACAATATGATTAACGATTTTTGGTGCTCGTTGATTCAACGTGCCGAGCAGATCGAATTAGTTATCAAAGATAAGACGGAAAAATCCAAAAAACTCGCGGGTGATGAGATTATCCGTCTGGATATCATTCATGCGAAGGAGAAGAAAGCTTTCCGCACCAAACTGCAAGAAACCGAGAGAAACCTATCCTCATCTCTCCGAGAACTCGAGGAATACAAAAAACTGACGGCGAATGAGGCGGCTCGAAGTCAGAGCGATTCCCAATTGTAAAAGAATTTTCAGTTTATTTTATTATTCACTTATTAATTACAGAACTACCGGATCCGAAATTCCAAGCAGCACAATAAACGAACACCAAAAAAGATTTGACAAGCAGCCACCTCCGATGGGAGAGTCCGCCCAGCGAATTGTCACTCTTGCTTCATCCAAAGACGCATGGAAGCCAGACAGACAGAAAACAGCTGAGGATATCAGTGCAGAAGAAGCTGCTGTCAAGGTAGGATTTTAATTTCCAGTATTCAATCTAGATTTTTTGTTTTCAGGAAGTCTGCAAGAAGGTACGTTCACTGATGAACAAGGTCACACCAACATCGCAAGGCCCATTGACGGCAGAGTTTATCTCCTACAATGTTTCGTCCAACGAAAGTCAGTTGACACAAGTTGTCGGAATCGTTTTCGATAAGGCCGTTGAGGAGCCGAAATTCTGTGCACTTTACACAGAAATGTGCAAAGCCCAAGTCATCCACGAACTCGCGAAAAGTATGGGAAAATCTGCATTCCGAAACACCATCCTCACGAGAACACAGTCGTTCTTCCAAGATAAAAGAGATATTGATGCGGAGAAATTGGCAATTATTGAGAAGGAAGAGGATCCAGTAAAACGGGAGGCTATGCTCATCGAAGAGAAACAAAAGTTCAGAAGGAGGAAGTTCGGAGTGGTGGCTTTCATCGGATATCTCTATCGTAACAATCTCCTTTCCGCCAAGCACGTTCATTCTTGCTCGCTGGAATTGTTCGCATCAATTCTCCCGAAGAAAATCGATGAGAAAGAACAGTTGTTGAATAAAAAGGACTTCGATGAGGAATCAATTCACTGCGGTCTCCAGCTTATCGAAACAGTAGGAGTTATTCTCGACAATTCCAAGGACCCAGGACCAGCGCTCCTAGATCAATGGTTCAAGAAGTTTGAGGATGCTAAGCCGCTTTGTTCGAACAAGATCCGATTCATGATTATGAACTTGAACGAGTTGAGAAAAGACAAATGGGTTCCAAGAAAGTCGGTTGAGTCTGGACCAAAGAAGATCGACGAAATCCACAAGGACATCCGCCAAGAGAAGATTGACAACGAGAAGGGTCTATTTTGGAGAAAGAGAGGATACTGCATTTTTGATAATTGAGAAAAAATTAGGACACTATTTTTAGTTTTTGTGGGTTCTTCCTTTTTTCTTCGTTGGGAAGGAATCAAAACGAAATTTTAAAAAACAGCTTATTCTTAAGATTTATATTATGTCAGCATCATTCAACAAAAATTGCACAAAAAATAAGGGAGATCACATCACAGAAAACAAGAAATATGAAGAGCTCTTAATTTAGCTTTTTCGCCTTTTGCTCCATTAAATTGATGGCCTCTTTGATCACTTCATCGTCCTCCTCCTCATCCGCTTCTCCGCCTTTTTTACCATTCAACTTCTTCAAAAGTTTATCTCGTCGATTCTGAATCCTCTTCTGCTTCTTCATCGACTGTTTCACTCGCCAATTGAACATCAAAACCACTAGTATCAGTGGAATTGCCAGCGCGAGAAGCGATTCGATGGAGTCGAATGGGTGGTTAATGATCATGTAGACGAGTTTCTCGAATTGTTGGCCGATGGAGTTCATCTGAAAATACTGACTTTTAGGTAACTGAAAAACGAAGAAAAAGGAACTATCATAGATCTAGCGGAAAATTGAAGTAAAAAAACAGCGAAATCGTTATTAGAAAATCGTCGAAAAAATACAACGGCGCCCAGAAAATACTGACACTTTTCTTGTAAGAATCTTGTTAGAATCATTCATATTGTACATAAATACAGAATCAGTGTAGTATTGTGAACCGAAAATAATAAGAAATCACAGCGAAATACATGGAAAATCAACGGGGCAAGGAGAACGAGAGTAGAGGATAAAGCAAACAGTCAGTAAGGTAAAGAGCACTTCAAACATAGAGAGGATCATCGATTGAGCACCGCCGATTGGCTGATTTTGTCCCAGTCCATGTCGGTTGGAAGGCGTTCTCTGATTTCGCGTCTGGAATTCAAGCTTGAATTGAAATTATAAAACTGAAAAGGCAAACCTCTCATCATAATCGTCGATACTGACTCGAAACAATGCCGAAGCGAATCGCAATCCAAGGTTTCCGTAGTAGCAAAACCGCCGGCCAGATGCCACAAAACACTTCCACATGCTGCAGAGAAGCAGCTCACGAAAGATTCCTCTGGAAAAAATCTCGTTAGAAAGGAAAAATCTCAGTTAATAGAATTACTTGGTTCCATTCATCATTCCCACAAATCCCGACACGGTTCTCCATGTGATCCAAAGGTCGACAGATATCTCGAGAAGGCCGAACATGTCGACACCGAGACGAGGGAACCACCAGGATCTCCATGACTTCAGTGTTAGCTGCTTCTGATATCGGGTTCTGAAAAGAAACTTTGAAGATAATTATTCTGGCAAATTGCTCACTGGCACTGTGTGCACATCACTTGCTGCACTGCGTTCGCTTTTGCGAACCACATTCCGAGGCATTGATTGTGGACCCACTGTAATAATTTTATTCAATTTCAACAACACAATTTTCATGATAATTGCTCACATGAATTGATCCTCGACACCTGCAGGGATGAACGAAGCTCAGTGTGCTGTCTTCTTCTGTTCCGAAGCAGAATTTGCAAGATTTCAGTGTCTCTTCGTCCGCCATTTCTATAAAAATGTTCTTATTTGCCTCGTTTTTTTTTCAAAAGATATTCTTTTTTGCAACAATCATTTGTATGTTTTTTTAGCAGGTCAAACCGGTCCAGGGAAAAACGCCAAAACTCGGGGGGGGGGGAGCGAAATAGTGTGTCGAACGCGGAGGGTTGTGTAGATTTACGCGCTCTGGCACACTGCCAGGCAACTTGTCGCTACGAGACCCATTGTCTCTCGGCTCAGCCTAAATTCATATCGATTTTTTGTAAAAAACCAAGTTTGTACTGTTTTTTAAGTACAAATTTTTCTCAAAATCACTTTAAGATAATATTTCAGTCGTCTTCAGCATGTTTTGATTGCAATAGTTGTGCAAAAGCAGCGCTAAATATTGATTTTTGAAGTTGCGAAATGTGTCGGTTGTTGTTTACATCCTGTTTTAAGTGTTATTTATGACAAATTTCGTTGCGAAAATCATATTTTCGAAACAGCATTGTTGAAACTAGTATTTTTGACTTAGTTTTTGTTGAAAATTTTTAAGCGCATCTAGAAACTTTATCCAGGTAGCTTCCGGAAGAAAAATTGATCTCTTTTCCTCATTTTTTCTTTAGTTGCAAGTTCAAAATAACCTTTTTATTTTCAAGAATCATCGATTTTTCCCACAAGACCTTTTCTGTATTCCCACCTTCTGACGCACGACCGCTCCGCACCTCTACATCCCCAAACGTTCAAACGCGTTCGTTTCGCGCCTTATTTGTGCCTATTGATTTCCCGCTGCTTGATTGATTATTCACCTCATTCTTCAGTTTGTCCATCTCAAAATTTTATTTTCTCCTCTCATATTGTATTCCCATTTTACATTGATTTTTTCCAGAAGTTCTTCTCAAACCAAAGGATTATGTCAAACGCTGTTAGTAGGGGGCCGCCTGGGGGGAGAGGAAAGCCCAATCAAAGTGAGTTTCGAGAATCGGAATCTTGAAACTGACATCTCAAGTTTTTCAGACTATTATCAAGATCACAATGCTGGTGGTGTTCCCGATCAAGGGCAACAATTTGTAATGCCAGTTGTCCCACAGCAAGGACAGGGTTATCAAAGATACCAACAAAATCAGATGCAGCAGCAAGGGTATCAACAACCCTATCAACAACCATACCAACATCAGCAATATCAACAGTATCAGCCACATTCGCAGGCTCCTCCATATCAACAACATGCACAACCACCTCAGCCATTGTGAGTTTTTGTTCATCACTGTTCAATGAAATAAATGTACATGCTTCATCGCAAAATTTCAGCGGTGGATACGCCCAGCAGGAATATAGTCATCAGCCTCACATGTACAATCAAAGCTATCAGTACCGAGCTCCTCCACAACAATATATGCAAGACACTGTCACTTTTCCACAACCTTCACAGCCTCCCATGACAGCTCCTGCACCGGCAGAGAAACGACAGAGGAAACTCCTCGAGATCGTGGATCCAAATACTAAGAAAGCTATAGAAGTGACACCACTTCAAACACCGACTGCTCCGGTGATTCCTGCTGTTCCACTCGACCCAGAAGACGAGAAGAAGAAGGCAGAATTGAGTCATCAATTAAAAGAACAAGTCAGACAGCGGTTCACATCCACAAATACGGACGATGGACATCAATCGAAGTCGCCTAATCTACAAGGATCGGGTCCGCTTCCAAACTTCAGTCAGCCACCTCCATCGATTTCGAGCTCTCATCCAGTCGCGGAAGTCGTTCCAGAAGTCACTCAACCGGCTCCTAAAACTCCAGACGCTCAGACCAAAGTGGAAGCAGGAGCTCCGCCAGCAGAGCCTGTTACGCCAGTCTCTTCACCACAATCTTCTGAGACGACGAACACAACACCAGCCAGTGGCACTGCTGAATCTGCCGTCGCTGGACATGAAGCTCGTGTGACTCCTACCCTCCAGAAAGAAGAGTCGAAGGAGGAAGACGACGACGATAAGTTTGATGAGGTGGACCGCAACGAAACACCAGATCTCACTGAGTCACAAATCGAAAAGACACCAGAAGAACTGGAAGAAGAGAAAGCGCAGAAGGAAGCCGAAGAGAAGGAGAAAAGGAGAATCAGAGAAGAAAGTCTTGAAAAGAAACTCGAAGAACTTGTTGCATCCGGCGATGCCAACATCGAGAAGGGATACTTTGCAAGAGATTTCATGATCACGATGCGAGCACTCGAAAAGGAGTTCGCTCGTACTCCATGCCCACTATCTCAACAGCAACTGAACGATTTCGGTTTGGATATCAAGACGATGCAAATTCCACAAAACAAAAAGACGAATTTCACACCACAATGGATGCCCAACAACAAAGGAAATCGCCAACAGAACGTAAGCTTTAACTGAGATTTTCCAAAAATTACTTCTTCTCCTTTCAGCCATATCGCGGACGAACTACTACAGATGGAACAGGCCGTGGAGGACAGCAACAGAGAGATCGTGGAGGCCACAACAAACGGCCACCACCGGTGAGAGCGTCCATCGAGCGAATTCCGCGTGTCACTCTTGCTTCATCCAAAGATGCATGGAAGCCAGACAGACAGAAAACAGCTGAGGATATCAGTGCAGAAGAAGCTGCTGTCAAGGTAGGATTTTAATTTCCAGTATTCAATCTAGATTTTTTGTTTTCAGGAAGTCTGCAAGAAGGTACGTTCACTGATGAACAAGGTCACACCAACATCGCAAGGCCCATTGACGGCAGAGTTTATCTCCTACAATGTTTCGTCCAACGAAAGTCAGTTGACACAAGTTGTCGGAATCGTTTTCGATAAGGCCGTTGAGGAGCCGAAATTCTGTGCACTTTACGCAGAAATGTGCAAAGCCCAAGTCACCCACGAACTCGCGAAAAGTAATGGAAAATCTGCATTCCGAAACACCATCCTCACGAGAACACAGTCGTTCTTCCAAGATAAAAGAGATATTGATGCGGAGAAATTGGCAGTTATTGAGAAGGAAGAGGATCCAGTGAAACGGGAGGCTATGCTCATCGAAGAGAAACAAAAGTTCAGAAGGAGGAAGTTCGGAGTGATGGCTTTCATCGGATATCTCTATCGTAACAATCTCCTTTCCACCAAGATCGTTCAATCTTGCTCGCTGGAATTGTTCGCATCAATTCTCCCGAAGAAAATCGATGAGAAAGAACAGCTGTTGAATAAAGAGGACTTCGATGAGGAATCAATTCACTGCGGTCTCCAGCTTATCGAAACAGTAGGAGTTATTCTCGACAAGTCCAAGGACCCAGGACCAGCGTTCCTAGATCAATGGTTCAAGAAGCTTGAGGATGCTAAGCCGCTTTGTTCGAACAAGATCCGATTCATGATTATGAACTTGAACGAGTTGAGAAAAGACAAATGGGTTCCAAGAAAGTCGGTTGAGTCTGGACCAAAGAAGATCGACGAAATCCACAAGGACATCCGCCAAGAGAAGATTGACAATGAGAAGGCTCGCGATCAGTATGACCGCGACCGTGATCGTCGCCACGGAGGAGGCGTTCGTCAAAGCAGCAACTCGTTGAGAAAGCAAGTCCCAGTCTCAAGGAACTCTTTGGACAGAAACCGAGCTCCAGACCAGAAGAGAGCGCAAGCAGCTGCTAACACCAAGCTTGCTTCATCAAGTATGTTTCCAAATTGTAATTTTAAAAAAGTCGTAATCTTTTTTTCAGATGTTCAACCAAAAAACATTACTCTGTCGAGTGCAATTGGAGACCAATCGCTAAGAACGAAAACTTCCTGGTCAGGCGGAGCTTCTGGAGGTGGAAACGCAGCTGAATCGACCGCGGCTCCAGCAGCAGCAGGAGGAAAAGCATGGGGACGTCGCGACTCGAATGATCAGCGGAAGAAATCTGCCATCGATGAGAAGCAAGCGAGTTTAGCTGCAGCTAGAGAGATCGGAAACATGACACTCTCTGCACGACGATCCGCATCTCAAACATCGATTCCAGACAAGGTTGACGAAGGATTGACGGATGAAGAGAAGGCTCTCCGCGCAAAGATCATGAACAGTGTCAAATCTGATATTCAAGAAGTTGTCAGCGAAGACTTGTCACAACAAGAGATGGCTGATTCGTTCAGTAAGGACTATGTCGGCAGCGCAAAATATGGAAATCCATCATTGACGGTCGTTTATGAGATGATCATTCGAGCTGTCAGTGAGAAAAACATGAAGGAAGAGGAGCGGAAAAAACTTGCCTGTGTCCTCCGTATGTCACTGGTGTCCGACGCCGCGAAACAGTCTTTCATTGACGGGTAAGAGTTCTCAAGAGCTTTTCAGATACCATTCTAGATTCTTTTCAGAGTAACTCGGTTCTGCAAATTCGCTATCGACACTGAGCTCTACCAAGACTTCCCTCAAATCTGGAATGTGACCGGTGAAGTTCTCATGAATACAATGCACGTGCACCATGAGGTGATAGGAGATTCTGAAGTCAAGACGATATCGTTGACTGACATGAAGTCAGCTTTCCTGACGGCTAAAATCGAAAAAAGAGACAACGTTATGTCGTTCGTTCTATTCGTGGAAGTTATCAAGCGATGGGTAAGTTCATATTTCTTCTATAAACGAAAACTCTACTTTTGTTTCAGACTGATGCCGAAATCGCCGAAACTGGAGCAGTGGAAGCTCTCGCTTGGGAGTTCCAAGATCTCCCATACCGAGAGAAAATGGAGAAGGAGGGACTACGGACGGAAATGGACACGGTGAAGGCGAGCAACGGAAAGACGTTGTCCAGTCTTCTGTCGAAATAATATATCGTCAATTCGCCATTTTCGGCCAATAGTAGTTTTATAGAAAAATAATTTTTGTGTGCTAAAACCTTATCTTAATTATCTATGTGAGAACGAGTTGTTTTTGATACGGTCGTAACATGTCAAGTTTTTCGTTTTGCCTCCCTCCCATTCACCTCTTTCCGCGTTCGTAGCCCATTTTAAATGTTTCTTTGGGTCCCCCTCTCTTTCTATGGTTTTTACATTATTATTGCTTGTTATCTTTTTCAAATAAGAGGGTTTGCAGAAAAGGTGCTGAAATGAATGCCTGGAAAATTGTTGTTGTATCCTACTCCACTTTTTCAGATATTCAGCAACGCCTTTTTTGCAGACTTCTACAGATTTAAATTCAGGTTTCGAATCGAAAACGGATTCTGTGAATCGCTGCGTTCGTTTCGAAACCTCAATTCAACTCGTTATAGCCCTTCCTCTCCTTCTATCACATTCTCTTACTGATGATCCAAATATCACGTTTTTCTCTCTGAAAAAATTACGTTTATAAATCCAACTTTTCAATGAGCCCCGTCGTTTGGTCCCTGTTACCCTTCCTTCAGTACCCCCCCCCCCCCCCCAAGAAATAACCCCTTCATACCCTTCATCCTTTTTTGTTTTCTATTTAGCTGTTTTTTCTCCTTTTTCTTTTTTCTTCCCACATCTTTTTTTATTGGTTTTCTCCCCCCAACCTATCATATTCTCCCAATTATTGCACGTAAAGGGTCTTTTCTAAGAGACGGTCGAAAAGTCGCTGAAACTTGTCGGAGCGCTTCGAAAAAGTCTTCTTATTTTTGAGAAGACGACGCGAATCACCGCACTTTTCGAGGGATATCGAAGACTTTAGACTTTATCTTAGTTGTTTCGTCTCCCAAAAAATTGTTTAATTAAAAAGTCTTTGTGTGTATACGTAAAGTGCCTTATTTGTCAAAATTTTCTAGGAACCCATTTTCTTGAGATTTTGACTCGAAATATAACTTTCGTGCTTCTTTCCGCCCCAACGCCCCATCGTTCCCAAAAAACGCCCCTTCTCACAGAGTAAATTCCTTGAATTTTTATGTTCTTCCTTGTTTTTAACTATTTCTCTTTCTCAGCATCATCCAACACCACAAATAAACATGGGCATCATATAATTGGGTTTTCATTTTTTCCAGTTCCCTTTTTCAGGGGGTGCATTCCCCATCTATCTCTTCTCCCCCATCCACATCAATTGCTCAACAATTCAAATGAATTTGAATAAATTGTTTAGGATATTGAGTGCCTGATGATGATTTTCAGTTAGAGTTGATGGATGATGATGATGGTGAAAATAAACGAAATTTAATACGGCGGGGGAAGAGAATAACATAAACAAAAAATTTGGAGACACTGAAAAATCACGAGAAATCGTACCATCCGGTGATTCGTAGGCTTGCCTATTGACAGTTGGATTTGATATATTTGATCTATACCGCGCGAGCTGAAATTCTGAAATTCAAACTATCGGCATGTTTCGCGTCGTTCATTCTCTCGTTTTTTCGCATTTTTCCATATTTTTCCCCTTTTTTGTGTTGGTTGTGTCCGCTGAAAGCCATTTGTATGCTACGTGGCAAATTCGCTTTTCGAGACGACTTCCAGAGGATGTTCTTGGCGAAAGGCATCGGCGAATTTAGCTGGAACTTGCCACGTGGCAAAAAAGCATTGGGGTTTTTGCTGAAAATTGCGTTGCGATGAAGTTTGTTCGCTCCAAAATGAGTCAAATGTGCTCCGGAAGCCCAATGATTCAGCTGAAGCTGGAATTCAGCTCACCGCCCGTTTTTCATCGTTGCCGTTTTGACGATTAGGCTTAGTGCTTGCCACGTGGAATCGAATTCAGCTGGAATTCGCCACGTGGCGATGAAGCTTCAGAGCTCTAGCAAGCTTCAAGATGGGTCAAAGGTGCTCTGGAAGCCTCTGGTCACGATATACTCGAGCTGAAGCTTGAATGCCAGCTCGCCACATGGTATCTAGGCTAACAACCGACATTTTTGCTGAATTACGAGGTCGTACAATCGATTTCAAGTCATTGTTCTCAGACGAGAAATCCTCTCTTTATACAGTTTGCGCGAAGAAGACACATTGGTTGTCGAGGGGACGACTATGAAAGAATAGAATATAAGAAAGGAAAAAAAAGGAGAAAAAGTCTCATTTTCTCTCTTTCTCTTTCTCTCTCTATACAGTCTAAAACAAAAAAAAAACTGGTCCGCCCGACACTGTATGTCAGAAGTGTGTTTTCGTTCTCTTTCTCTAACCCAACCATTTTATACCTCTTCTTCTTATTGTCTCCGGACACATGCGCGAATGTCCTGAAGGTGATAGAGAGTAGAGGAATAGAGAAGCACAGAGAGTTGTGTTGTAGTAGAAGGGAAGGGTCCCCCAAGCAGTCGATATTTGTCTCTTTTTCTTCTCCAAAGAGATGAATGAATGAGGCTTCGTCACTCTCTCTTCAAGGCTTTTCTGAAGGGCGGGATGATGATGATGAGAACGTTCTAGTGGTTTTCGATGGGAGATTGATCCTCTTTGGAGGAGATTTACATTTTTATGGTGTTTGAATTTCTGTTTCTATCCATCCGGCTTATTTCTATTTCTTCCTCTCATTTTTCTCTCGAATTCAAGACAGTCACAAAGATTCTAAATATAGAATATTGTGATTCTTGACGTAATCCATGATAAGCATTCGTTCCCGCGAGAGAGATATCGTCATATCAATCCTTCCCTCCTTTTTTATATCACTGTAAAGATTAGTCCGTATTTTCTCCACGTGGCGGATTTTTAGAATCTTCAGATCGTCGTCGGCTTTGAATCGAGTCAGATTTCTCGATGTTTTTCGTAAAGCCACGTGGCATTTTTGCACGCAACTGGCTAACGTTCCACTTATGCAGATCTGACGTTTCCGCTTGCTTCGTTAGAATTTGCTCCACAAAGAATTGGGTCCTCAAAGTGCGAATTCCATTTTATTGCTCTAACGAATCATCTGTTGTGCTATTTGAACGACATAAAGAAGAACGCCCAACACATCTGCTGTAGTTTCTCGCGGTTTCCATTTCATTCAAGGTCTCTCTGCTGAACTAGGCGAATAAGTTGTCCCTAGTCCATGAAAGGTTTCCGATTTCAATAACAATTAGGTAGCTTGGCTCCTGGGCTACACCATTCACTACTACTTCCCCCTCTCTCTCTCCGTTGTTGTAGGTAATTATCCCTCGTCTCTCCATTCACATCCCCCTACCAACCCATTCATTCACACAAACTGTGTCAACCCAGAAAAGCGTTCGTTCCGCTTCAATTACTCTCTTGCATCCATCGATTCTTCGTCACCCGAAAATCCCCTGTTCGTTGAGGTCTCGACACGAAGGCTCCGCCCCCACTCTGATTCCCCCTTTTGTTTAGAAACAATGAGTCAGAGAGTCAGTTTGTTTCCATTGACACTGCAATTTTGACCTGAATAATTTTATAATACTGTTGCCCCCGTCCTTCAGAGAGTCTATTGTTGTGAACTTGTTCATTAATGGGATTATATTTCATATTCTTCGGTCGATTTTTCGAATGTGTAACTTTTTGGGTGTTTCCTCTTGTTATTGTTTGCTTCTCGAATGTTTTTTCTTCGAAATTTCGAATTTCAAAACATCTTTCTCTCCGATTTCCGCCCCCGAAAAAGAACCTGATTTTCATAAAACGTCCACCGCTGCTGACGCTTCGTCGTCGTCATCAGAAAATTTTATCATCGCATCAGACACGAAGATGAAAAAAGACTTGAATAGAAGAGAAGAAGACTTCATCATCATCATTATATTAATAGTAATTTCCTAATGATTGCCATGATGATCACAAGTGTGTGTGCGTTTTTGCGTTGAGAGAGATTCCTCCGATTAGTAGTAAAAAGACATTGACGATGAAGTCGTGAACGTCAGAACGTCTTCTTGACGACTACCTGTTTTCGTTTGCTTTTTTGCTAGATTAGTTCAGATCATTTCAATCTATTTGGTGCGAGAGTAATGGGTGACAGTGTAAATACTTGGTTTGCCATCACCGTCTTTCTCTCTTTATGACAGCTGTGTGAGCTTATTACGATTTTCGCTAGACAGTTATAAGACACACTATTTGGATAGGTTCTCGAGTGTTTTGACGTTTTGAATTTGAGAGAGTTCATTGGATGATTGGGGTGATCTCTAGGATTGCTCATTTCGTTACAGTAGCGGTATCTTTCTTGATTTGTCCATGCAGGATTCACGTGGGAATTTTTTTTCCGATGTTGTCTTCATTATAGTATAGCTCTTCCAAAATTGCCACATGGATTTTTCAATCAGAAGCTCTTCAGCCTACCGTATTTCCTCTAGTAGAGATCCACCCTAACCGTGTACTTTGAGCTCAATTATCTCGATTTCTGTGAAAGATATCAAAAATTTGTCAACTGATAAAATATTGGCGATATTGTGATCCATAATTTACTAGTTGACAAGTTTTTGATATATTTCACAGGTAGCGAGATAATGGAACTCGAAGTTGACGGCTTTGGTGGGTTTCTATTAGAGGAAGTACGGTAGTTTTGGCTCCAAGCGAATTCGGCGTTTTTTTCGGTTTTTTATCAGACCAAATTTCTTAAAATTTCTTAAGAAGCTCTTCATCCTTTTCTGCTACGTGGATTCTTTCCATCAGCTAACAAACAACGAGTTCTCGTCTTATATGATTCATTACCTTCTAACGAATTCTTCTCGAATCGAATTCTAATTCTACGTGATAATTTCTCATACAGTCTTCTCCTCTCCCGTCTCCAAGTTTCCTCTTTTTTAGTGTTGCTAACCCATATAAACAAGATTTCGGTCACTCTCCTCAACATCATCCACCAATTTTTTTTTTCTTCCCAAATCGATCGATTCCTCGTCTTCTTCATCGTCGATGACGTATTAATTTAGCGCCGAATAGAGAGAGGAAGAATTGAAATCAAGATGTGTTACGTAACCGGGATAATACAGGGAAATATCATCAAGATCATCGGGGGTAAAAGGACATTGGCAGCAGCTGCTGGCCCCCTCTGATGTCTCCTACGTCATGTTTGCAAAATGACTGGTGGCGCCGGCGGCATCCATCCCATTCCCAATTCGCAAGGTGTGTGTCCTGTAAATCTAGTAGTCGAGCACACACTGCGTGTATTATAGAAGGAGGGGAGTGTTCCGGCGCGAGTTTCCGCGCGGATGAGTGTTGGTATGACTGTGTGAGAGAGAGAGCAACTTGATCGCGTCGTCTAGTTGTTTGGGGGCTCCAAAAGCTGAGCACACCATGTTTCCTCTCGTCCTTTTGTTCCAACTGCGTTGTATTTTCTACCTTACAAGGTATTTTTGTTGCTTTCCAGCAGCTTCTAGAAGTATATACAGCATGGTATTTTTGCTTTCCGGAAGCTTCTATAACATGACCCTCTTGCTTTCCAGAAGCTTCTAGAAGCTCTAGAAAGCTTCCAGAAGCCTCTAGAACATGATATTTTTTCTTTCCAGAAGCTTCTCATCTCCTCTATTTCATATACTCTCTAGTGGGAGATTAATCACATTTCCGATATGACTAATCGCCCTGCAAAGTCAATTCATTCCTCTGATTATTACAGTTTCTAATCGGTCTCACTAGTTCTTTCTTCCCTATATCTCGAACCTTTTACATCATCATCGTTGTCATCACACTCCTCATCTCCTTCTCCCCCGTCGTCTAAAGATTAAAATCAGCTGATTTTCGTAAAAGAAGAAAGAAGGGGTCTCCTGACCACAAAGAGAGAAAAGAACAGTCATCAGGTTTTTTCAGTGTTTTTTCAAGGTTGACACTCACACTCGATTCAGGCGAGATGTGTCAAGGTGCACTTTGCCTTAAAATTGCCCTAGAAGTGTGAATTTCACTTTGGAAGATCTGTTTTTCGGTTATCGCCGAATCTCAAGAATTCTGTGTGAGTTCTTCACGCCGATTCTTTAGAAGTGCCTAGTGAAGGCTTCTAGATAAGATTCTGAGAATTCTAGATTAGATTCTGAGCTTCCAGATAAGATACTGCAAATCTTACAAATGTCTTAAACAGGTTATTGTCATATTTCCTCTAACATTGGCCAACCCAAACCGTCAACTTTTTGAGCTCAATTATCTTGATTCCTGTTAGAGATATCAAGAATTGGTCCACTGATAACATATCTATCATAATATCACTAATATTTTATCAGTTGACAACTTTTTGATATCTTTCACAGGAATCGAGGTAATTGAGCTCGAAGTTGATGGGTTTGATGTATCGTCTGCCACGTGGAACAATCACTTTCTTGGTAAATATTTGTTCGGGGTGTTTGCCAATTTTTCACCTGGAAAATATTACTTCTTCGTGCTTCAAACGTTCTAATACTGACTCTGAAAATACCACGTGGATCAAGATGAGCTTATAGTAGATTTCAAGTACAATCCAAGTTACCGTATTTTCTCAAATAGAATGGCTCTCAAAAACTTTAAACTTTGAGCTAAATTATCTCGGCTCCCTTAAAAGACATCAAAAGATTTTCAACTGATAAATTGTTTATGATAATATCACCAATTTTTTATCAGTTGATAAATTTCCGATATCTTTTACAGGAAGCGAGATAATTAAGCTGAAAGTTGACAATGAGAGAAAATGTGAAAAAAAAATCTGTCTTTCCACTAATTTGTCTAGAAAATTGTCTTGAATCCCACACATTCTTAATATTCTAAAGTTCTAGATCAGACCATCACACAGATACCCTGTCTCTGCAACAAAGTACAGTACATTCACCTGTCACTAGACACTATAGTATAGGGCCTATACCAAACTGAAAAGTAACTTTTTTCTTGCACTTTCTTGCACTTTCTCTCTTTCTCCTCTCTCATATCCATCTATATATTCATCTTCCGACACCGTGAAAGTAGAGACGAAAACCGGTCGATCATGTGCCCTCCAGCCAGTGATTGGGCTGTGGGAGGCTGATCATGATTTCACCCTTTTTTCTTTTCACATCCCCCACCACCACCAAAGCAGTCCCTTCCAATTCGGTCTCACTTTCGTTCCGTACTACAACAAGACGCTTTTGTTAGATTCTTTGTAACTTTTTTATTGTAACAACATCATCTATACTTTAATTATCTCTGTTTCAGGTTCTCTCGAGACACACAAAAATGGCCCAAAAGTCGGATATATCGGTGGAGACGTCGAGCGCCGCGACAGGTGCAAAACCAAACCCGCCATCGCCAAAATCCCGGCTTGCAATGTTGAAGAGAACCAAAAAAGGTTGGTGCAGTGGAGCGAGCTTTCTAGAAGTGTCTGATTATTATCTCTTCTCCCCACTTATCAACTGAAACTTGTGATCATGATCTAGCAGAAAGTTTACACAGTTTTTATTTCTGCGTCTCTTTCTCTAGCCGCCGCCGCAGTTATTTCTATTTTATCGATTTCTTCTAGTTGTGTTGTACTTATACTTCTTAGACACTAGTTATGAGAAAGACGACGCAGCTTGGTCGCTCGTTCTCGAAATCTTTCAAGCAGAAAAAATCATCGTGGCGCGGTACTACTTCTAAAAAATTAGAATTTGAATCTAATCTTCTTCAATTTTCAGCATCAAATGCATCGTCTGATCCGTTCCGCTTCCAGAACAATGGAATTTCCTATAAGGTAAGGTTCTCTAGCTTTTAGAACTTTTTGAATCTTAACTTTTCATTTTCAGGGAAAGCTGATCGGAGAACAAGACGTTGACAAGGCTCGAGGCGACGCGATGTGCGCGGAAGCCATGCGAACTGCCAAGAGCATCATCAAGGCTGCCGGCGCGCACAAGACCCGCATCAGCCTTCAAATCAACATTGACGGAATCAAGGTGCTCGATGAGAAGAGCGGCGCCGTGCTCCACAACTTCCCTGTCTCCAGAATCTCGTTCATTGCTCGTGATTCTTCGGACGCTCGCGCATTCGGACTCGTCTACGGAGAGCCAGGAGGCAAGTACAAGTTCTACGGAATTAAGACTGCGCAGGCTGCCGATCAAGCAGTGTTGGCGATTCGAGACATGTTCCAAGTGGTGTTCGAGATGAAAAAGAAGCAAATCGAGCAGGTCAAGCAGCAACAGATTCAGGATGGAGGTGCTGAAATTAGCGTAAGTGTGGGACGGGGTGGGGGTTTCTGGTGCTTTTAAACTTAAAAGTTACCGTTTATAAAGTTCCAGGCTAAGAAAGAAGGCGGAGTCGCTGTCGCTGATCTTCTCGACTTGGAATCCGAACTTCATCAAATCGAGCAAGGTGTTCAGCAACTGTCGACAGTGCCAACGAACTGTGATGCCTTTGGAGCTTCTCCATTCGGTGATCCATTCGCTGACAGCTTCAACACCACTGCCACATCCAACGGAACGAATATGAATATCTCTGGAAACGTGTCGAATCTCTCTGGAACTCAATTCGGAGGAATTCAAATGCCACACATTGCTCAACCTGCTGCTCATCAAAATTGGCCAACTTCTGGAACGTCTTCCTTTGATGCCTGGGGACAACAGCCAGCGATGCACCACGCTCACAGCACGCCGGCGTTCGGATCCAACGGATTCTCCGAGACGAATCCATTCGCTTCTGCTTTCGGCGCTCCAGCTACTGCTCCACCTCCACTCCCATCCGCCGCTCCTTCTTCCCAACAATACCGTGATCCATTTGCCGTGAGTGCTGCTCTGCCAAGCTCAACGATCGATTGGAACGGAACGGGAACAACGAAGGAGAACATGGCGCCATCCTCGAATACTCAGGCTCTCCATCATGCCAGCACCTTTGCCAACTTTGGCGACAAGTAAGTGTTTAATCCCAAGTACTGATACTAATGATTAACTAGATTCAGCTCTGACAATTGGACTGCGGAGAAGAAGGTGACTTCGTTGGAAGAGGCGTTCACGAAGCTGGTTGATATGGATGCATTGGTTGGAGGACAAGGAGTCAAGGAGACGAAGAAGAATCCATTTGAGCATATTCTCAATCCACCAAAGGTTGGTTTGGGGATACTTTTATAAGGCTCCTGGACGTTTCAGAATCCGACGTTCCAGAACTTTTCTGCGTTCTGAAATGTCGGTTTCTGAAGTGTCGAGTTCTGAAACGTCGGGTTCTGATTCGTACAGGAGCCGCTTATAAGCCACCTAGACTCTTTCTAGTTTCTTGATTTTTTTTCATAAACTCTGACGTCTTCTAGGCCGACGTTTCAGAATAATCTTTGAGAGGTACTGGATTTCAGAGAGAGCTCCGCGAAAGAAAGTTATGAAGTCATTTTGCAAGACACTTCGCAAGTGTGATGTTTTGCAAGTGCTATGGAAAGTAACAGCTTTGCAAGGTTCGCACATAAAAAATTATACGAAAGTTTGTTGCTTTTTCTGCTTCTGACCGGCTTTAAAAATATCACATGCGATATGTCGAACTTTTGAAGTCTCTGCTAAAAATGCCACTGAGCCTTAAAAATGTAAAAAAATTTTTGCCAGTTTTTAGTGCTCAATTCATGTTACGAACTCATCAATTTTACTTATTCTGAAAGAAAGTCATATAAAAGCGGAAAATACTGTTCAATGAGAGAAATGCTGAAAACCGAAAGAAATTGAAGTCGAGAAACGATTATGGAAAAAATAACGGAAGGAAAGAAAAAAATCTTCGCATTCTAAAAGTTGAATTTTTATAAAGTTAGAATTTTGCGAAACACACAAATAGAAAATCGAAGTTCTGTTCCCCAT